TAAACAGCCACTCCAGATCCCTCCCAGCCAGAGGACAGGGGAAGAAGTCCTTGGCCGAGCCCCACGTTGGTGAAGGTTCAGCCCCTGGAGCCCTCTCTTCACTTCTTGTCTTACCCTCCTGGGTCATCGAGGGCAGCGTGAGCAGCAACTGCCTTTCCGCGTCCTGCAGGGAGGGGAGAATGGTGTCCAACATCTCTCGGACCCGGTTCGCCTCTGCTGGGTCTTCAACGGGTCTCCTTTCTTCCTTGTTTATATGGAGTTTGTACGAAAGTGATTTGCCCACCTTTCAGTTCTGCCTGACTCTGGGAGCTTTGGGTGTACCTTAAAAATAAAAATAAACAAATCTTGATTGATTTTTTCTTTCTTAAACTTTCTATCTCACCTTGCTCATTGCTCTAGTTGTCCCTGAACAACTCTCACCTCAGGGAATCAGATAGCTGTCTGACTCTAGCCTGTGCCAATTCAAGCCCCAGAGGCCACTGAGAGTTTCAGTGAGAAGGAGCCAGAGCTGCAAGCAATAATGCGGAGACCGGGAGGGTAGGACGCTTTGCGTTGCTAGGAGGCAACAAAGGCTTGTTTCGTTGCTTTTGGTGTCACAGTGGGGACTTGGCCCCGCCCCTAAAATGTGTGGGGCCCCAGATAATGAAGGTTCATGGGGAGCTCCAAGCTGTCAGGCTAAAATTAACGAAGTCTTTTAACTTTATATTTTCCTTCATTCTTATTCTGGACAGCGAAGAGACTTGGTCACTATTAGCACCTTGGACAAAACTGGGAACACATTTTTCCCCACGGCAATGGACATTTTAATCACCTGATAAGTTTGAGGGTTTGAATTTGAACTGGAATTTGTTTCTTGGGTTTGGTTTTTCCTGGGCTGCCTTCCCAGAAAATAGAGGTCTGGAGGATCTCTATTTTAATTAGTCATTCTTTCCTCCCTCTTCCTTGTACACTTGGCAAATCTCATCCTGCGCAACTGTTTTTCAAACTCTCCCATTTAGTGAATATTAATTTCTTTTACGAAGTGAATACACCTATGTAAACCTCATCAGGTCAAGAAAGAGAACTCTGTCAGTATCATCATTTCATTCACCCTCCAGGTATTACCCACAAATACCTAAGTTAGATTTTCCTGTGTTGGAACTTTTGTGATCAGACGGTACGTATTATTTTGTGTGTGACTGTTACTCAATGTTTGTGAAATTCGTTCCCAGTTCCTGTAGTAGCAATTCGTTCGTTTTCACTACTGCATGTTATTTTCTTATATGATTATGACACAATTTATCTTTTTCATGGTTGAAGAGACACTGAGTTGGAACTATTAGAAAAAATATCTCTACAAGCATTTAGATTAAATCTTTAATGCACATGTATTCTCATTTCTGATATATATCACTAGCAGTAGATTACTGGGAAATGAAGAATTATTTTTATATTGACTGAGGTGATATCGGAATACCCTCAGGTAATACCATGACAGTGTACCCATCATCAACTCACCCATCTCCAGCACCACAGACCATTACGCCTCCCTCTTTCCCTCCCCCACCTTGGTGTCTCAGTTCTGTAGTTAGTGACCCAGGATTGTTTTTTTCAGTTTGTCTTTATCTGACCATTAATTTAAATACTTTATATTCCACTTATTAGTGACACCATTCAGTATTTGTCTTTCTCCTTCTGACTTACCTCATTTAGTTCCATCCATGGTGCCACAAATGACATGAGCTTATCTTTTTTGATCTCTGAGTCATATTCCTTTGTGTATAAAAACCACATCCTCTTGCCCTACTCATCTGTACTGGGGTACTTAGCATTTTTTTTCACAGTTTATCTCTAGTAAATAGTGTTGCAATTAACATGAGAGTGCAAGTTTCCTTTCAAATCAGTGTTTCCTTTCAAATTATAGAATTTGGGGGAATGGAATTACTGGATCTAATGGCAGACCCATGTTTAATGCTTTGAAACATCTCCATACTGCTCTCCACAGAGCTAGACCAGTTTGCATTCCCACCAGCAGTGTAGGAGGGTTCTCTTTTCTCTGATTCTGGTCTTTTTGAGAAGGGCCATTGTCACAGGCATGAGATGGTATCACATTGTGGTCTTGATTTGCATTTGTCTCATATAAGTAATGGTGAACATTTTCTCATGTGTCTATTTGTCATTCTAATGTCTTCTTTGAAGAAGTGTCTATTCAGTGTTTTTGCCCATTTTTTGATTGGTATGTTTTGTTTTGTAAAACTTGAGATCTTTGCATATCTTTGATAACAATACTTTCTCAGAAGTACAATATATATAAATATTTTCTCCCACTCAGCAGGGCGTCTTTTTGTTTCAGTTATGAATTCTTTTCCTATACAAAAGTTTTTGCGTTGATATAGGCCTAGCTGTTTATTCTGTTTTGTTTTCCTTACTACTACTAGGGACAAATCCCTAAAGGCAGCATTGAACTTATGTCATGGAATGCGGTTTCTTCTATGTATTTTATGGCTTCCGGTTTTACAGCCAAGTCCTTGGTCCATTTTTGTGTTGGTTTTAGTGTATGGAAAGAACATGGTCTAGCTTTACTCTTTTGCATGCAGCTGTAGTTTATTATGTCAGCACCATTTATTGAGGTGATCTTTGTTCCAGCATATGTTTTTGACTTTGTTGTCATAGATTGACTGTCCATATACATGTAAATTTTTTACGACCTCTCAATTCTGTGCCAGTGGTCTGTATGTCTGTTTTTGTTCCAGTATCAGGTTGTTTTAATTATTGCAGCTTTATAATATAGATTGCGGTCTGGAAATGTGATACTTCCATTCTCTTTTTTTCTTTGTCAAGATTGTTTTGCTATTCAGGGTCTTTTGTGATTCTATATGAATTTCAGTCATATTTGTTCCAGTTCGTTGAAATCTGCCATTGATATTTTTATCGGAATTTTGTTGAACCTGTATATTGCTTTGGGTAGAATGGCCATTTTGACAATTCTACAATCTATGAGCAGGGAATATTGTTCCATTTTCTGTGTCTCCAATTTCTTTCAACAATAGTGGAAATGTCTTATAGTGGAAATGCAGATTCTAAAAGATAATGCCAAACAGATTTCCAAAGTTGTTGTGAGACTGACATTCGTGGCAAGAAGGAGGAATTTATGGCACTTATTGTAAACAGAGAAAGGGGATGATTAAATTAGATTTTGAATTAAATATGGGGATAGTGGAAGAGGAAGTTAGGAAATGGGTATAGGCAGTCAGTTAGGGACAGGGTGCCCAAGCCCCAAGTCCATTTATCACCCTAGTTAGTTGCAAAACAATGACAGACCAGGAAGCACCCTCCCCATTCAATTAAAAAATGGAATGGGGTTCTCCCTGGCAATGCAACGGGTTAAATAAAGCACAACAGTATGAAGCTATCTGCAGCCGCTTCGTATTTGATCCCCAGCTACGGAGGTAACCCACATGGCTGGCAGACCTCTCCTGTCTTATCTGCTGCTCCCCTCAGCAGTGCACTTCATCAATTGGCCTGTTCTGCTCTTCAGTCTGTCTCTGGTGAATCCTCTCATGCCCTGTACCTCTGGCCTGTACCCCAGGTCTGTATGCATAAATAAATCTTTAAACAAATAAATAACGGTATGGTCTCAACACCAACATAATAGCACAATATGAATGTACCAAAATTGGTATCAGAAAGGTACATTGGGTAACACAGAAAAACCCAGTGGACCTCAGTAGCCTAGGATACCCCAGTGGGCTCAGCCAATCCGTAAGAAACCAATGGCCAAATCCCCATTCTTGCCTACTATACCCATATAAGCACCTGCTTCTTGCCCCCTTAGTAACTATCCAATTGGGAACCCTCTCCACTCACACAGATTTCCCATTCTTCTTCCTATCTATCAATAAATCCTTTGTTTTTCTGTAACTCTGGTCTTAATGTTACACATTCCTCACCAAAGACAAAACCAAAAAAGAGCCTGATTGGGGCCTTCAGTTTCAGAAGACAACTATGATTGATGGCTAACTATCAGAAAATCTAGATGGCAAAAGAAAGTATCTATAAATAATAAAGACCTTTTTTTTTTTTTTTTAAATGAGACAAG